AAAACAATAAGTGTAATACTGCTTTAAATTGTTGTTTTTCCCCCAGAAAAATTTAAAAGTTTAATTGCAGTTTTGTTTTTCTGAGCAAAAAAATAAATATCATACACTTTCCCCTGATTTACAGAAGAGACGCACTGAAATGTCATTCAGTGTAACAACCTTGTCAGGCATATTTACAACAAAAATCTATTTATGACACCTTAAAAGACCCCAAATACTAATTAGCTGTAATTTTACATTTTTTAAACATGCCACTATCCTAGGTTTTGCCCATTTATCAGTAAGACTTTTTTACTCATTTAAAACAATGAAATTTAATATACTCCCTTATATATTTTAATATGTACACGTCAGAATAAGCATGTTCTACATAAATATTGTGTTACACTGAACATAAAACTAACATTTTATTCTCCAAAAACTTATTTGAAACCTTAAAAGTCGACACTTTACTTATATTTAATGTGCTTTCTATCGACATAAAATCACTTGTACATTTCTTTTGATGCGGACATCTTAACGTCTTTGACCTAGTAATATTATGAAAAATAAATTTTTTTTTTGCTTTTTGCAGATATACATTAAAATGAATAATAATAAAAAATAGAAATAACAAATCCACTAATATTTACTTTTTTTGTTGTTGTTGAAAAATTCAGTTTTTGTACATTATTTCACCAAAAAACAAAAATAAAAGACGATTTCAATCCGGTTTCCTCAAAAACCAACAGGTGGCCTTGGAATTGAGTCACTGAGTGTCTCTGATGCCATCTGGTGGGAAATTACATAAAATTGCATTTTATGGTTACAGCTACTAGAGGGGCCTATAGGATCCTATGGAGACTTTTGACGGTGCAAAACAAGTGAAACATGAGAAATAAGATCATCTTAAGGCTTCAATTTGGTTAAGGATTCAAATATATATATTGAAACATTACAAAATTCATATTTAAAAAAAAAAAATTCTAACCGAATTAGAACCTAAACATGTATATTTCATAAATATATAATGTATATATTTTTAAATACAAATGATATAAACATTGGTCTCCATCACAGCACTCAAATCTGTGTCAAGTTAAAAAAAAAAAGAAAAAAAAAAA